GACTGCATGATAATTTGTATAGTCAAGCCAGATTTTTTTTCTTAAGTCTTATTATACAGGGGGTCGATGGAGGTGTGAGTTCACCTTCTAGAAACTGTGCATAAGGTGCTAGTATGTTCAAACTGCAAGGGACTCAGATGATTTGGACCAACTTCTCTTAGTTTACAGATGAGGAACCTGACATGTACCAAGCTTAAATGACTTGTCCAGGCTCACACAAGATTAGCAGGTGACAGAACAACCTGAGTAATTCAGTGGGTTCTCCCTGCTCACCATTTCACATTGAGCTGCAATTCTTTGCCCACATTACCTTCTTACAATGATCTCTCACCTCAAGTAACAGTGAAGATTCAAGCAAGCATGACACCCAGAGCCATGCCTTGCTGATATTTTTTTACACCTGAAAGGAGGCTTAGCTGATACTTGATTATTCCTTCTTCAATAAGGAGCCACAGACAGGGACCTCTCTAGTGATCTGCCGTTGTTTTATAATTTCCTCATATATAAACTTTCCTTTTTTGTTCATCACAAATGATCATGTAATGATATGCTAGTGTTGTGTAACCCTAATGTTCCCAACTGTCAGCCATCCAACATGACCCAATTTTCTTTTCTTAATTTTAAATAGATTTGGGAACTATCTGACAGTGTTTCAAGCCTATGTTAGTACACTTACTTCCAGGTCATTGTGAGACCTATTCTCACAGATCTATTCTATTCTAGTTTTTAGGTCTATTCTAGTTTTTAGGTCTCCAGGTTTTAGTAAAGAAACAGAGAGTTTATCTCCTCAGTTACAAAGGATTTTAACCATGAATTATATGAGAGCTATCACACACAGCATCAAGGCATGGGGCGGGGGTCTTTGGAATGTGTTGATTTTAACGTTTTATAAGCCTATGGCTTCTATGATCTGAATTATTATTTCTGTGGATGCTCTGATTTTTTTGATAAATATGCCACAACAGAAGTCAAAATTATCTCTAGCTAAAATAAATTTGTTTATTGGGAATTATACAGTAGTCAGTACAATGGGGACATTTACACTTTGATAGCATAAAATATGGAGATTTTTAATAATGGCTCTAAATATAATGCTGGACAGATGGTAGACAAATAAATAGCTGTCCATTGACTGAACACAGCATATCATAATGCGGATTTTCCTTCACCATAATTTTGGTGCTAAGTATATTATATTGTTTCCTCTAACAATATATCATTCTAAGTAAAACCAACCTTGCTAGATATCAGATGTTGGAGAGGAAACCCTTCTTCTTTGCCTTTGGTGTTCCCTTCTGTGGCAAAGAAGTTACATCATGCTAACACTGCTCACCTCTGTCTCCCCCATTTCTCATTTCTCCTTCTGGAGCAGGAGCCCTTAATATGACTTGTAAATGTGCAAGGAAAACCTGGACACATACAACCTTCCCTTCCTTGTCCAGAACTGGCTTGCTCACAGAGCAACACATTTGCCACAGTTCTTGGACAGGCAGGGAGATTTATGCAACCATTTTGGCTGAAGCTTGGGACATTATTATAGCACTAAGTGCTATATTATATGCCTGATGGATACCCCTGTCTGCTTCTGGGCTTTACTGAGGAAGCCCACTGCCTGATATAAGCCCATTTCCCAGAGTGGTGCTTTCTAAGTAAAGGTAATTAATATTTTCATCTTACATTCACCCAGAGGCAGAAAGATAATTATGGATGAGAATGTAGGCAATAGCCTCCAACAGTTGAGATTCAAATCCCTACTCTGTTACCTGCCCAACTAGAACCGTAAGGATTTAGTGAGTTACTATACGTGAAGTATTCTGAACAGTGCCTTCCCAAGGTAAGTGCTCTACAAAAGTGTTTGGTATTAATGATACCTTTTCGTTTGGTTGTTCTGTTGGTTCAGAGCACAAACCTGGAAAAAGGTGTCTGTGCTGGCTTCCCACACACACCTGCAAAACAGAGTTTTAAAGTAACTTGTAAACTCAGTGACTAGGCTCATCTTACCCCTAAATAGATCTCATCTGGTGCTCTGGCCCCAGTCTTACTCAGTTAGACTGAACCGCTCAAGGTTCCTAAGTCGCAGCACATGTCTTCATAGCACGCTGGCTCTGCTCTTGCTCCTCTGAATGATTTCTCTCCCATGTCTGCTTGTTTAATCAGACCTTGCTTCCATGGCCCAGCTCACAGCCCTACTTTAAACCCTCTCTTTATTCCTCCTGTGTGGTGGATGCCTCTCCCTTCTGTGCTGTGAGAGCAAAAGAACATATCATTGCTATCATAACTTGCTCACTCACACTCACTGACAATTATGTGAACTGTGAGTTCCTAAGGGTCTGGGCCTGAGACCACATCCTCTTCACCCTGACTCAGTGGTGCCCCTTATAAACGATTATGCAAATACTAATCCATCAAGAGGTCACCCAATGCCTTCTCCAAAATATTAACATTAACCATCTACCTCCTGCTACCTCAACCAGACCACCATTATCTTTTACGGGGTCTACTACCATAGCCTCCTAAATTATCTACCTGCTTCTGTGCTGGCCCTAATTCAGGTTATTCCCCAAACTGCCATCAGAAAAATGGAAAATCAAATTCTATTACCATTCTGCTTAATTAATGAACACCCGTAGAGTGATACTGAAACCTAGATTTTGACCTTTCATGCCTTCCTCTCTTTCTCACCTAATCGTGTACACCCATTTCTGTCTCCTTACTCATTGTATTCTGGGCACATTTGTCCTCTTTCCGGTTCTCAAACCAACCAACCTTTCTCCACCTCAGCCTCTTGTACATTCTTTTCCCTCTGTCTGGAAGGCTCAGTCTTTTGAATTTCTGGCTTTAAGTCTCAGCTTAGAAGACCTTTCCTAAGGAAGATGCTCCTGACCCTGGGTCTAAACTGAGGAACTCCCCGTCCATCATGTAATTCCCTGTCTCATGTAATCCAATACCTCATTATTTTCCTCACTGCACTCACAGTGATTGTTAATAGCCTTTAATCTATGTTTTCTGGTGCTCGCTACATGACTGGAAGCTCTGTAATGACAGGAATGAAGTCCATCTTGTTATGATTTGCTTCTCGAGGACAGTCAGTGAATGATAGTTCCTGAATGACCTTGGAAGCCTTAAAGATTCTTGGCCTAGGAATGGGAACCAGAGCTCACCTGGTAAACCCTTTGTCTTCCAAGTGAGAAAATCAAGATTCAGGACTTGCAATGAGCTCTCCTGAAGTCCCCCAGTCCATGCCTGCCTGGCATCTCCCGTGTTTGGGGTATTCTTCATTATCAATGTCTCTTGCCCGAGGCTTCTGGAAACTATGCAATAACTATAGATCATTAATGAAATAATCTGTCAGGAAAAGCAAAGGGTTCATGCATTTCACCCTTTCACTGAGAAATGAAAGCAAAGCCTAAGGAAATGCCATCTGACTAATTTGTAACCGAGGCAAAGCTTCTCTCTTAGTCACCCCTAACAAAAATGTCAGTCTTCTACAGGCACAGTCGAAACTGCCAAGGTCCATGGCAGCTTCCCAGATCTGTTCTGGCCTACAGGGGGATCTGGGTGCACCACAGAGCAGAGTGGTTTAGTGTTTCCAGGGCAAACAGAGAAAAACTAGCACCTTCAACAGACACCCCCTTTCTTTTACTTCATCTGTGGTCTATTTGCCAATTTATTGTATTCATGTTCCTGTTTCTTTCCCTCTCTGGGTCTCAATTTCCTGTTTCTACAATAGAATGATTGATATTGGGGCCCTTCAGCCTTGATATTCTATAATTTTGATGTACAGAGTTCGTTCTCCTCAATCTTTCATGAGGACGTAGGATTTGCAGAGCACTTTTCTTAGATCTACCATGTACAGGAAACCTGGAGGTCACTTCAGCTCCTATCAGCCTACCATTAACAGCCTCTACTGTCCTGAGCAGATGTGAGGAGCCAGTGAATCCTGGAGCTGACACCTCCTGTTTTATGTGCCCTAAGATTTCACTGTCTTTGCCAGACCAGTATATTCAGAGGGAGAGAAGGACATTCTCAAAGCTGATAGGGGGGCTTATAACAGACAATGCAGGGTAGCCTGACTACCTGATCACAAGGAGCCTTTCCAAGACTGTCAACATTGTCTACCAAATGCCAAGTGACTGGGGCACTTGTTATTAATCTCCAAATATGTACTAAGCAACTCTTAGGTGATATGCATTGTGCTAGGTACTGAGGAATCAGAAATAATTAGAAAATGATTCCTGACTTCTAGAAATACACAGTCTAATGGTGAGGTAGGCAGGTGAGCTATTATCATGAAGTCCAATACGTGCACAAGTAAAGCAGCTTTCTCTTGGCTTGCTCACAGGAGAGGGTGTCACTAGCTTCATCTGGGGCCTTCACAGTGGACTTCTTAGAGCAGCATATTTGAACTAGCTCATGTAGGGTAAGAAAGAGTTTACTTGGTAGATAGAGAGGAAATCCACACTACGTGGAAAAGTAGCAGCGCATGAAAGTATTGAGTGTGGGCTTGGGATCTTTTAGAAATGGTGAGGAAATATGGGATGATTTTGTAGTGACATCAGGGAAGGGAGAAGATGAAGAAGGGGAGAGTGGAGAAGAGGCTGGAGGGAGAGGTTGGGATGAGAAGGGTTTTATATACCACGTTAATGGGTTTGGACTCCATTCTACACAGGAAAGTGGAGGCCTGGACAAATGTGGTATGTGTGTGTGTGTCGGGGCAGATGCACACTCACAAACAACATAATCAGGTTTGGGTGTTTCAGAAGAAAATGGCGGCATGGGAAGGATGGAGAATGTAAATTAGGCACAAGGGAATACAACTTCTGGGGAGCAGTGAACATTCTGGTAGCTACACTGATGAGTAAGTGGGGAGGCAAGCTTTGGAAAAGTGTTTTGGACCTGATCAGTGAGTGCAAGGTTATGTATTTATACTAAGGAGTTTATGTCAAAAGTTACAGCTAGGACTGCTACTCAAAGCTTTTTTCCTGTGCTTTGTATGACAGTTATTAATGGAACACATACTGGGAGCCCTGCATGGCACTGAGTTGTGTGGATTGAAATAATCTATGCTGAAGACAGGACTTTTCTACAGGAGGCAAAGTTTCCCACCTCCTGGATATGCTTAAGGCTAAAGTCATGTCACGCCTCAAGGAGTGCATGGATGACATTCTCTGACCAGGCAGCTACGACAAACTTCTGGCATCTCAGATCCTCCATTAGCCACTCATACACGGGAAAGCTAACCTCAAGTCTGGCTCCATCACTGTTGGGAGAAAAGCTCGATTGCATTCTCAAGCAGCCGGCTAAACACAACTGTGCTCCTGACTGTAACAGGGACAGGAGGGCCAGTGTGAAATTCGGACCTTTGGAGGAAAGAATGCATACATTTAAAATGAATAAACAGACTTCTTCTATCTTCTTCCCACTGGCAACGCATCTGAAGGCCTTGACTCAGCACTAGTGGGCCTTTACTGCTCATGCTTGCCCAGCCCTCTCGGCGGTGATTGATTTCATTGTTGGCTGTTTTCACTATGTGAATGTGGGATCTTTGGAGAGCCTAATTCTTTGCAAGTTCCATTGGAGGGTGGAAGCGCTAGAACAAGCCATAACCAGTCGAAGGCCCAGTGACTCAGGAGCTTAAGCATTTAACTAATTAGCACAGAAGAATGTGACAAAGATTTGCAGTTAATAAGAATGAAAGAAGAATCATTGGGGCCTGAATTATGCAAGCTTCTATTTCCTTTTGGGACCATATAGGAATTTCAGGAGAAGAAAGGCTACCTTTTACCTTTGAGGAATTTTCAGAGTAATTTCTTTTTAATTGGTGACTGACAAAGGGAACAATTTCAACACCTCAGAAAAATGCCTCATCATTTCCTCTTGTGAAACCTGGGTGCTTTTGAATGAATTCATGTTAGGAATGAGGATCCCAATCCATGAGGGTCATTTTTAACCGAAAGCCGCTATCAAATGTTAGTGGTGGTTAGAAAAAACAGAACACTTGTCTTCCGTGAGCATCCTATGACCTATCTTTATCCTTCGAAGCCAAGAAAATGTAATAAATGAGAGCACAGTCTTTTGCCAAATATGTTAAAATCCCAGCTCAATCTCTTCCTAGTTACAGGACTGTCCTCTCTGAGCCTCAGTTTTCTCATCTCTGAAATGGGACTAATTACATCTACTTCCCAAGGGGGTTCTAAGGATTAAATAACAACCTGTGAAAAATGTTTAATCTGGTGTCAGGCACACAATATTCACTTAATGCCATGGTTGTTATTATTAACAAAAAATAAAAGAAAGAGAAAATGCACACTTACATTGTTTGTTCACATTGGTAGTGATATCTACTCAGGTTGTAAATGAGATTTCTCCAAGTAAAGGGAAAATTTTGGCTTCTACTTTTATTTAAAGAAAAATGCTGAGTTAAAAAAGTTACCTTTATGAATGATGCTTCCTAAAGGTGAAGAGAGATAGAATTTTAATGCTTTAATTTTTGATCTTTTTAGTTTTTATTTTTTCCTGCCTCATTTCAAAAAAGAATTTCAAAGTAGGCTAGAAACTTATAAGCAAAGATAAACTAAATTATGATCAGCTTTTTTTCACCTATAATTTGTTTTCACCTATAGTTTTATCAACATTTTAACAAGTTGTATGATTCCCCAAATGACAAATAGGAGTTAATGAATATGCATTTATTGAATTTAATTGAAATGAGCAGAAAGAAAAAAATTCGATAAATGTTTTTCTTTGAGAACTTTTTTCTTTTTGTCAACATGCACTTCTTAGATTTGACTATAATATGGATTTCAACTCAGAAATAATGAGGTCTCTTTTTATTGTTTAATGCTCATGTTAATCCACTTTAAAATTAATGTTGACATTTTAATTACTTTGAATAGGTACTAAATTTACACAGTTCAATACTGGAAAGGTACGTAAAGCATCAGTGGAAATTTCTCTCCTATTCTAATTCTTTAGCCATTCACTTCTTCTACCTGGAGGCATCCTATGTTCTCAATTTCTGGCTTCGATCCACTGTTGAAGTTTGTGAAAGAAAACCAGGTCAAGGTCAGCATGTGGAACAATGACCACTGCTTGCCTTTGAGATTAGAGGTGTGTGGGTTCTATCATGGCTTCTTTACCTTAGTAGCTTCAGGTCTTTGGGCAAGGGGTTTATCATCTCTAAGATCCAGTCTCTACTTCTGTTAAGTGAATAAATTCTTTGCTGGGAGGTTATGGAGTTTGAAAAAGAGGATATATGTAATACTGGCACATAGTAGGTGCTCAGGAAAGACCACATTCTTTTACCTTCTGTATATTTCAGTCTTTGGATCTAAAGCTTCTTTGACTGTTATGTGCTTTAGTGACTTGAATGCATAATTACAACTTTCAGACTGGTCATTTGAAAGATGAGGGAAACACTGAGGCATTTTTTCATCTTCTTATTTCTTGGGTGGCTGCATGAATGTTGATGCATTTATGCATGTAAGATCCATGGACCTTCCATGTATTCCTCACTGCTATGGGCTTCCTTTCCCATCTAGCTGCATCCTTCTTATTCTTACTCACCCAATTCCAATGCCAATGACTTTAGAAAACCCTTCCCTTGTCATATGGAGCAGGAATTAGATTTCCTTTAGTTCAAGCCCGCCTTTCTCCTACAGATGTAACGAACTCTACAGTGCGGTGGTTATGTGTGTTAGTTTTGGAAGCACACAGACCTTGGTTGGAATCTGGACTTTGTCACTTTCTAGCTAACTAACTTCCGGCATCTAACTCACTGTACCTGAGCCTCAGTTTTCTCACTGGAAAATTAAGCTAGAAATACTTCCACCCCTGGGATATTTGAGGATAAAAGGAAAAATAAAATAAAAGCACCTGATTCATAGCAAGTGACCAATAAACTTTGGCTTTTGTAATTATTATTCTGAGACACAGGAGGGGACTAGATACTTTCCAAATGTTCTGTCCTGTCTGACCAGCAAAAAATGGGGGGCTTACGGATATGCAAAGAAGCTAGTGTTTTATAACTGCAGTTAATGATGCATGGTACTTCCAGTTTCCATTTGCATTTTGTTTCACATGATTGTCCTAAATGCATCACTGATTAAGTGTTGACTGTTTGCATCCATGATGTAACTGTCCCTGTGTTCAAAAGTACATCAAATCTGCTTCGAGATTTAGCTTCCTGATTGTACTATGGTTGCTTTTGTCCTTCCCTTCCTTCCTTCCTTCCTTCCTTCCTTCCTTCCTTCCTTCCTTCCTTCCTTCCTCCCTTCCTTCCTTCCTTCTTTCCTTCCTTCCTTTCTCCCTTCCCTTCCCTCCTTCCTTCCCTCCCTCCCTCCTCCCTTCCTCCCTCCCTCCCTTCCTTCCTTCCTTCCTTCCTTCCTTCCTTCCTTCCTTCCTTCCTTCCTTCCTTCCTTCCATTTCCCTTTCTCACCCCTTCCCTTTGTTCCTTTCACAATGCTATGTCTATTGTAGAGAAAACTGGTTCTGCTTTCAAAGAAGACACAAGGGAATAAAAATTATAATTTATTAGATGGCATTCACACCCAGTCCTGGTGCTAGACACACTTTCTACGTGTTCTCATTTAGTCTTCACAGCAGCCCTGGAGGGATTAGTTGCCCAGAAAGAGTAACCAAGTTGTTCAAAGTCACACAGCTAACAAGAAAATCTGGGATTTGAAAATAAGACTGATTCCATATGTAATTAGTAGATGTGGGGATTGTGTGTGTGTGTGTGTGTGTGTGTGTGTGTATTGAAAATATCAAATAGCACAAGTTCCCTGAAGACACTATATTCACTCTTTGGCAGACTAATGGTGTCTCTTGCACCAAACTCCATCTTGCTCTCAGTTCTTGAACTTGCAAAAAGTGAATAAGTTTTGGGGTCCACAAGACTTCACTGCTCTTTTCTTTGTTCTGAGGTTGGGTAATAACCTTCATATCTTTCCTCTGGGGGCTTCCACTCTTATTATCTGCTCACTCCTGATGTACGCTTGTCTCATCACCAAACATGGCACCTGACAGCATCTCTGGTGCCCAGCAAATGTTTGCTTAATGGATGAATTAATAAATAAATGGGAGAGTGAAGGAGAGTTGCTGACATACCTTTGTCTTATTCTTCTGGATTTCTGATATTGGCTTCTAGCAGAAGCTCAAAACCCTCTTTGTTCTTCTGCTCCTCTAGGTTACCCCTCCATACACATGCACAAAGATGCAAAGGAAGGCTAATCTGGACAATCAGTTTTAGGATGCTAATTGAGCAGTTTTAGAGAAGTGGAGATATAGGGATCGGATCAGAATCTTTCTGGGTCAAGGTGGATAGGGCCTCTAAAAATGGAAAAGTCCAAAATCCATGAAAAATAGAGGATTAGGGTTTTGGTACACTTTAATTTGAAGTTAGTTGGCAATACTTTGTCCAGGAACAAAAGGAATTTTCCATGTAGTCTTGTCTGATTTATTGGAGTTTTCACATGGGGGTTTGGGGCTACCAACCCAGCTAATATTTATGACTTTTCCTTGCTCTCAGAGATATAATGGGAAGGGGTGGTCATGAACAATGGTGAGATTCAGATATTTACAAGTTCCTGGCCAAATATCATACCTTTCCATACCAGTCTCACCCACACCCTCAAAAGTGACTTCTTATGTCAATACCATTTCTCAGTATTCTATCTGATTGTTTGAAAGCCATGAGGCAATCATATTCCTAATGCTGACATCTTCATCTCATTCCTGCTGATATAGTGTGAAGATTTAATCTGTGGGATTCTGGGGAAGAGAAGTTAAGGCATTAATTTCATTGACTGGATGATTTGGGTCTCAAACTGATTTATTTATTTATTTATTTTTAATGTTTTTTATTTATTTCTAGGAGAGAGAGAGAGACAGCGTGAGCAGGGGAGGGTCAGAGAGAGAGGGAGTCACAGAATGAAACAGGCTCCAGGCTCTGAGCTGGCAGTCAGCACAGAGCCAGACGCGGGGCTCGAACCCACGAACTGCGAGATCATGACCTAAGCGAAAGTCGGACGCTTAACCGACTAAGCCACCCAGGCGCCCCTCAAACTGATTTATTAATAAGAACTACTCATTTTGACCACTTTCTTGGGTGGAAAGTTCTTGGACTTTGATCCTTCACTGCACCTTTTCCCCTCAACAGATATCGAGGTTTGAGGAAACACTAATAGAGAAATCAATTAGTTCTCTTAGTGCTCTCACAATGTGATTAATGGGAATTGCTGATTCACTAAGTTAATCTTGGTCAGGTGTACATTTAGCACTTAACCCATCAATTCCCTCAAACCCCTTTGGGTTTAAGATCCTACTGGCAATAAACACACGAAGATAAAAGCATAGTGAATTTTCAGAGAAGGTTGTGGATCTGCTCTCTCTGGGGTACATGGAAAAGTCCTTAATCGCAGTCCTGATCTATCATTTACATAGTAGATGCTCTATCATCATTTGCCTTGCTCCGGTTGGTGATTTCAGTCTCTCATCTCTGAATGACTGAACATGTCTAATTCCCATTTTAATCATATTACCTGGATGAGCAAAAGTAGCTCTAGACTGATTTATGCATTTTAGCTGCCAAGGAACAAAACCCAATCCACGTGATGCTTAACCTATTCTGAGAGCAGCTACAGGCCATAGGCACTGGTGTTCTCGCAGACTATGAGATATTTTATGTTCTGATAAGGGATAAAAATTCCCATCTCAAATGGCTCCCCATCATACTGAGATCTTGCAACAATAACATTACTGATTCAGACATTAATCTTAAGTATCCAGGGAGCCCTAAAACATTGTAACCCACTAGCAAGGGCCATGGTAATTGCCACGTAAATCCCCTCCATAATCTGGCTATTATTATGACCAGCCAGCCAAGGTTTGGCCTTAAATCATCCTGGTTGAACAGAGCCTTGTAGAAACACCATCACCTACACATATCTCTGCTTCTTTTCATTAACCTGTTACCCTCTTTAGAAACTGGGTTTTTTATCCACTCCCTTCCTCCAGATTAGTAATGCCCTGTTAAGTAAACAAACATGAAATTTCAAAGGGAAACTGGAGCAATAATCATTACCAGCTGCCATGTTAAGCATTGTGGAAATGCTCATGATTCGCATAGAAAAATCCATGCTGCCCTTTGAAGGCACTCAGGCCTTCAGAGCTGGATAAATGTATAACTTCCAGGCCAGGCTCCATTCTGTTTCAACAATAAGTTCTGTACCTTGGGAAAGGTGCTGAGAAATGAACTTTGGTTTTCTCCACAATCCATCAGGAGCATTCTGTGACGACACTGACTTTGAAG